CTCCTCCTTCAGCTTCTAGAACCTCCTCCATCAGCCTCTAGAACCTCCTCCATCAGCCTCTAGAACCTCCTCCATCAGCCTCTAGAACCTCCTATATCACCCATCAGAACCTCCTCATTTTTTTAGCCTTCCTCCTTCAGTCTCTCCTGAACAGAACTGTTGGTTCCATGGAGGCCAGTGGTCCCAGGGCACCACTCTGCCACCATCATGTTTGACTGCAGGGCCAGCTTCTTCCTCCTGGCTCCTCAGACCAGGTTCCCAGGATTCTTTGGGATCATCAGGAGCTTTACTGAGTTCTGCCGGGTCTGCGGAGGTTCTGGAACCAGTCGGTCATTCTGAATTATCACCTCTGACCTTTGCTGAGGCTGTTCTGGGGGAACCGACTGGATGAGGAATAGTTTAGTATTCCAGCTTCTCCAGTGAAGGTTCTGAACTGTTCCTCATGTTCTCTCTCCCCTACAGGAACCCCAGCTAGACTGGGCTGCTGGACCTGGAACCCGAGTTCCTCTGCAGAATCAAGCAGGTGGAGAACGTCCTCAGGTGAACCCAGGTTCCACAGGCTCCATCTCTTGGTCATTTCTCCTCTGTGTCTTAGAAAGGCCAGTCTAGATAATTAGTTCTAGATGTTCTCTCTCTCTCTCAGGTATTTGGGATGTTCTAGCTTCCAGAGCTAACTTCAGCCCTGACCAGTAAAACCAGACGTTTCAAGGCTGTGCTCATGATGTTGCCATGGTAACAGCTGTGTGTGAGGTCATCACCTGCTGCTTCTCTTCGTACACCAGGATGTCAGACATCTGCCGCAGACGCCAGGGGATGTCGGTCTGGGAGGCGGGGCGGCTGTCATCTGCACAAAGAATGGGCCAATCAGGCGTCAGCTGGTGGTGTGAGGTAGCAAGTAGCTGCTGACCCAACCTCACCTGTGGTCTGGATGTAGTAGGTGGTGATGGACCTCCAGTGATCCACGAAGGAGTCCAGCAGGTCCACCGTAGGTTCCCTCTGGAAGACATGCAGAGGCCAGGCTGGTTCAAACTGGCCAGACTGGTGTAAACTGGTCTGACCAGCCTCTAGATCTCAGACCTCAGATCGGAACCACTTCAAAATTGGAGAGAACACCATCCCAACTATCCAAGAAAAGCCTGTGAAGCGCTTGGGGAAGTGGTACAGATGCTTAGCCAGCGAGCAGCGCTGCGTGTCTGTGACATCATCAATGACCCCTCACCCCCCCACCATGGACTGTTCTCCCTGCTGCCCTCTGGGAAGAGGCTTCCCAGCATTCAATGCAGGACCAGCAGGTTCTGCAGCAGCTTCTTCCCCACCGCCATCACACTGATGAACTGAAACTATGCAGTCATGTCTTTACTGTTTTCATCACCATGTTTTTATCCTGCCTTATCAACGCTGCACTTTAAAAACTGAAATACTCTTGAGAGCTGTTCTTAATGAAATTTATTTTTCTTTACACACAAAATGATCAAATAAAATCTAAGACTAGAGTGAAGGCAACAGGCCAACCAGGTCTAAGCATCTCTGGGAACTCCTTCAAGACTGAGAAGCATTTCAGGTGACGGCCTCTGGAAGCTCATCAAGAGAATGAGAGAGTGATCAAAGCTAAAGGAGGCTACTTTGAAGATCCTAGAGTAGAAGACATTCTCAGTTGTTTCATTTTTCTCTTCAGTATATATATTATTATATATAATATATATAATTCCACGAGTTCATTCATAGTTCTGATGCCGTCAGTGGAATCTATAATTTTTATAGTCATGAAAATAAATATATCTCTCTGAATGAGAAGGAGTGTCCAGACTTATACTCTGTATTGTAGATATATAAACACACATATATAAGTATATACATAAATATTATACATGTATATATTTATATAAGTGTGTGTTTTTATGTAGATCTATGATGTGCTGCATGAAACAGCTGCAGGGTTGTAGATCTAGAGGAATAGAGCTGAGCTAAAGGCTGTGGGTCCACCTCATTCAGCAGTCAGCTGGTAGCCTACTGCGCATGCGCAGTTTCAGCTAAACACGGCTGCTAGCTTATAGCTTCCTGGAGGAGCTGAGGGGACAGGAGGGACATGGAGGACATGGAGGGTGTCTCCGTGTCCCCCGTTCCGCGGACTCACCGCCTCCAGGGCCCCCAGCAGCATCCCGCTCAGCTTGTTGAACATCTCCATCTCCACGGAACCGCGTCCACGCGTGGAAAGACCACTGGAAACCAGAGCCGAACCCACAGCCAGCTCGGACCAACAACTTCCGGTCTGAGACTTCAAAATACACAACCCAGGTGTTCTACCCCGGAAGTGACGTCAAACGGGCAAGTTCCGGAAAATAAAAGCCGGAAGTGAAGCAGAATGAGGGGAGATGTTCAGAATCAGAAGAAATCAGGTCCAGAGAATCATCCCAGAACCAGGTTCAGAACCAGGTCCAAAGGTTCCCCTGCGGCTCTGGACCTGAAGATGTTCTGATCCAGAACTCTGGTCCAGAACATCGTCCCACCTCAGTCTGCAGAGGAGACCTGAAAGTGGGTCATAGAACCCAAACCAGTAACTGAACTGGACCTTGCAGTGGTTCTGTTGGGTCCGGTAACAGCAGGTGCTTCATCTCTGGACCTGGAGAAGTTCTGATGGAACCACAGCAGAACCTGCAGGAGAAGCAGAGGCCTGTTGTGAAACTGATCTGGCCTGTGACCCGGTTTATGCTCCGCCTATCAGGACCAGCTGGGCGGGGCTGCTGCAGGGCGGTGGGGGAGGGGTGGAGGCTTGAATTACCTGCAGCCCCACCCTGCTGAGTCAGAACCGCTCAGGTCCAGCTGAGGAAAACATCCCTACAGGTCCTGAAGGTGAACAGCTGCTGTTTGGATCAGACTTCATCCCAGAACCAGGTGAGAACACGGACCTCCTCCTCCTCCTCCTGCTCCTCCTCAGCTGAGGGAGAACCGGGCTGCTTGTTCTGGCCCGTTTACCTGCCAGCTGTTCCAGAACCTGCAGGTGTTCTGTTTGGGTGTGGAGCATTGTTCTGCTTCCGCCTAGCTCAGGTGTGCCTCCTCTCTGGAGATCGGTGAGACTTCCTGGTTTGGACCGGGCCTCAGTGAACCCAGTTTGGTTTAAAGTTTTTCTGATCAGAACCGAACTCAAACATTTTCCTCCTCTGACTCCTGGACAGCTTCCTCTTCTGGATGTGAAACAGTTACAGTTCCTCTGGTTCTGCTTCCCCTGGTTCCCCTGGTTCTGGTTCCCCTGGTTCTGGTTCCCCTGGTTCCGGTTCCCCTGGTTCTGGTTCCGGTTCCCCTGGTTCTGGTCCACTCCCATCTCCTCCGTCTGCTCGGACCCAATCGGTTCTGAGTAATCCTTCCTCTCTGGAGCCCGACACTCAGACCTGCAGGTCCGAGGATCAGAACCTTCTAGAACCTGGTCCGGTTGAGCCCGGTTCTGGACTCCTGATGTCCAGTAATGGATCCAGCCTGGTGGGTCCTTTAATCTGGGACATGGGGGTTCTGGTCCCGGTCCAGGTCTTGGCTCTGGGGGGTGCGGCTGGGAGAAGGTGTGGGCGGAGCCGGGTCGACTTCCAGGTTCTGCAGGTGCTCAGGGTGAAGTTAGAACCGGGTCGTCCTGCCGTCTGTCCGCTCTGTGGCGTGCCCGCTGCCTAACAGGTGATGTTTCTGCTGCTCCGCCCACCACAGGTGACATCATGGCTTCCCATCCTGAATTTGAGCGTGCAGGCAAAGAGGCGGGGCTTCAGGTGTGGCGGGTGGAGAACATGGACCTGGCTCCGGTTCCTGAGAGTCTTTATGGACGCTTCTACACCGGAGACGCCTACGTGGTTCTGAACAGCACCAGCAACCGCCGAGGAGACCTGCAGTACGACCTGCACTACTGGCAAGGTGAGTAGAGAAGCAGAAGCAGGTGGGGGTGGGGGGCTGACCCTAACCCTGCAGTAGAGGAGGAGCTCCGGTCTGGAAAAACCTGGAACCTAGTGGGAGGTTTGAGCAAAGCGCTTTTTCCCCACATTCAGCCACACGCTGATGGTGGCGAGCTGCGTCACAGCCACCGCCGCCCCGGGGCTCGCTGACAGAAGCCAGGCTGCCGTAGACGGGCGCCGCCTCCGACCACCATCAGTAGACGATGAGGTGTCCAACGACATCACAATGAAAGCCAGAGCTGGGCTTTGAACCCACAACCCTTTGGTTGCTCCTGCTTCTCCAGAGTTCCCATTAAGGTGGAGCTGATGGATCCAACATCCTGCTGGGACCGGACCGGACCTGGGTGCTGGGACCGGACCGGACCGGACCGGACCGGACCGGACCGGACCTGGGTGCTGGGACCGGACCGGACCTGGGTGCTGG